ACACACACACACACACACACACACACACACACACACACACACACACATGTATGTATGTATGTACTTCAGTATACCGAGAAATAATATTTGTTCGTATTGAAAACATTATAAACTAGTAGACGCGGTTATATTACATGTATGCTTTTTGTCGCTTGTGTTTTGTATTCTTTATTTTTTTTTTTTTTTGGTATGTAAGGAAAACCTACCTTAGATCTTATTTATTGTCATCCTCTTCACCGAGTCGAGACAACTTACACGTAAGGTGATCTGCGTTTTCGCCTCCGTCGAGTTTCCGCTCGCTTTCTTGATCATTTCGTTGAAAGAGCTGCGAATAATTAAAAATAAAAAAAAAAATTCTCGAAAGAAGAATCGAAATGTAGATGGCCGTGCTGGTAGTTTGTCTCGATTGTTAGCATTTTTCACTCATCAGTAGACATATATAACACACCGGGTACACACGACACCTCTACATACACTCAAAGGAAAACAAAAAAAAAAAATAATGAATTAAAGGTATTCTAAATGTAACGTGTATATGATGGCTGTACAAATGTAACATTTTTTTCCGTTGTGTATGATGATATTAACGATAACGAAGAAGAAAAAAAAACGGGAAGATTCGATGCAAAAAAAAATACGAGGTATAATTGACTTTAAAAAGAATAAAAAAAACACGTGTGCGTATCGATCGATGCTAGTGTCCGGTTGCGCAGCCGGCACGAGTGTCGATCAATTGATTCACCCACGAGTGATTTACCAATAAAATACAATTACTTTTAATTATTATAAAATACCATTTCTGTAATAACATTATGATATAAAACCATACATTGAATGGCATAAATTCGGTGGTTTCGGTGACCCCTACGTTCCCGTTTGTACTTCGTTCCCTTGTAGACGTATCCCGGTTTATTGTAAATATTAAATACAAGATTGCGTTCTACACACGAGGATTCTGATTTGACGAAACTTACGTGCCGTTAAAGATAAAGTTTATTGTTATTGTTTATAATTCATTTCTTGGCTAAAAATCGCGTATTCGACGTGAACGAGAATTAATATCGTGCAAATCATGTCTGTCGCGCGAAAAGTTACATTGTTGAAAGATTCAACGAGTCAATGTGACCGTTGGATGTTCGTAAGTAACCGTTTTTATTTTTATTCGCTTTCTTCTTTAGAGCGTTCCCTCTCGGAGCGTCTAGATTTCTTCTTACGTCGACTCGGACTTCTGGATCTGGATTTGTGTCTGCGAGATCGCGATCTCGATCGGTGGCGATGCCTTGAAAAGGTACAAAACGTGTTATTATGCATAAACGTTGGGTCGTCGCTCGCCAGAAGCGATAGAATTACTGACAAAAATAAAGCAATGCGTAAACGAAAAAAAATAAACGAATAAATCAGGACCGTCAGGTATAATAATAATCGCAAAACAATACTCAAACGTTCGAAGTTTATTTCTGTAATAGTCTCAGCCTTAGCGTAGCATCGCTGTATTTCTTAACTATGCTTTATTTTATTACCGCTCTTTGTGTCGATATTGGGAACGAGATCTATCGCGGTCCCTTTCGTCGTCCCTCGACATCGAGTCTCTTTCCCTCTCACGTTCTCTTATCATGGAATCCTTTTCCCTTTCGCGATCGCGATCTCTGTCCTTATCTCGTTCCCTGTCTCTTCCCATCGAGTCTAGTTCTCTGTCGCGATCTCTCTCCCTGTCCCGATCCCTTTCACGATCTCTAGAGTCTCTGGGTGGTAATAGCGGAGGGATATTCGTAGGGGGCACCATGGTTGGTATCGTCTTGGGACCGGTATCTTTGTCGTCGTCTCCTTCTGTCATTGGAATAGCTAAATTCGTTGGCTGCCACGTCTAAAATAGAAAATAAATAATCAATCCGATAAAACTTGGAGCAATAGGACAATATTATTATTTTATGTACCGGATCGTTGCCCCACTGATTATCCTGGGTGGGTTCGTAGCTTTGATAGTACGGATCTGTTTCTGGCATGTAAAAGGGGCCTGGTTCTCCGGGATAACCAGGAGGGGGCATATCAAACGCGGGAGGCATTCCTGCTCCTGGTGGTGGCACACTCATATCGGGGAAACCTGGTTTTCTAGAGTACTCCCTCCTATCTGCGGTCATCACTTGTATCACGTTTCCTTTTGGCGGGGATTTGTCAAGATTCCGTCTGGAGGCTAAACCAGAACTACCAATTACATCTATAGTTCCTGCCATTTTCCTTCCTGGAGGTGGTCCTGCTCTCTTAGGTCCCATTATACCGGAATATTTACTGTTATCGTTAGTAATCGCCACTTGAGGTACGCGCATACTGCCAGCGTTACCGCCTCCTCCGCCCGCGTTCAATATCAAACCAACTCCAGATTCACTTCTCATTCTCTTCTGTCTTTCGCAATACGCTCTCCATGTTTCCTCATTGAAACCGTAATTAAAGTAATCGGTAATGTCTGCACCGGGTTGTCTCCAAGGTTTATCTTCTAATTGATCTAAATTAAATTCATGAGCAGGCATACCATTGATAACACCTATAGTTTCAAATTCATCTATGCTAAATTTTCCTGGTTGTTTGTTCAATTTATCGGGTACCCCTGATGCATTTGTAAGCAATCCTCCTCTTTTAATATTGAGACTGCCATACGCAGGAGTCGATTTGATATCCCCGATGACAACGTGCACGTCGTCATCGGAATCTGTGTCACTAGCTGCTTCACCATCTTCTTGACTCGATGGCTCTCTCACTCCATTTTTATTTACATCTGTATTACTATCATTTGGACTATCGTTAGTGGGTGGAGATTCTTCTTCTGGCGGTTCTGCCTCTTCAGGTGACTATAAAGTATCAGTAATAATCACATTAATAATAATTCTACTTGATTACGAATCGTTTACATGCCATCTAGGTTATGTTGATCAAGAAAAGACGTGCGTTTGATATAACAGAATATATACGATTTTACTCTAAAATTTAGAGTATCGATCGTTGTAAAGACATGTAAGTACATGCATACATGTATATTATTTCTCATTTACTATACATTAAATAAACCCGGTAACAGAAGCTAGACGTACAGGTTAGAAAAAATGTACCTCTGTTACTGGGTCGGGAACGCCTTCCAGCTTTTGATCTTCCGAAGTTTGTGATTTTTCCTGAGCCGCAGAAGGCGTCGAATCATTTTCTTGGCTTTCTGGCTCAACGGATGTCGGTGTAAACTCTTTTCCATCGGTCGAATCCCCATACAACCACTGATCCTCATTCTCGTCCGCCATTTTTCCTTTTCTCTCGCTTGACAACTTAGGCCCGCGCAACCAGTTGTACACGTAAACGTTCATTCAAATAGAATCACGGTAGACAAGAATCGTATGAATGCGAAAGAGAGAGAAACATGTGCGAGAAGAATGGCTGCCGTTGACGGCAAGCGATCGACGGACGGTAGAGCCAAAGAGTATTAGAGTCTAATACTCTTTGGGTAGAGCAGTGTATAATAGTGTAGCCCAGTGTAACCGAGTGTAACTGGCTACCATCAATTAGATCTGCAGAGAGCCCGGGTTGGCCCGCCCCAGTTTTACAAGGTATGGCTAATATAACGTATCTTAATATCATGAACTTTCTAACTGTTTAAAGATAATGCATGCACTTTTGCAATCGCGTTGCCAAATACTATTTTATTCAATATACTAGTTGTGAAATCGAGCACGTGGCGTTTTCGAAATGACAACCGAACTGACAAACAGCAAACACAGCTTGCCGCATACCAGGGGCATCCTTGCGCCTACGAAATAGAAACCGAACAGACAAACGGGCTCAAATAGGTTGCCGCGTAACAGGGGCACCTCTGCGCCTACGATATAGCAACCGGTCTAGCATCGGTTGCTGACTAACACGGACATACTTTTCGCTCACTTCTCGATTGTTCCGCGTCGGTCACCGGTAACTGACACTTTTTATTTAATTTTCGACAAATCCTGACACCTCCTAATATCTTCTACCATATCCTAACACATAACAACTCCTGACAACTCCTGATGCCTCCTAACAGCTAATAACACCCCCTGACATTTCCTATCAACTCGTAACATTTCCTAAAACCTCCTAACCTTTTCTAACATCATCTAACATCTCCTAACAACTTCTAACACCTCCTGACATGTCCTGACACCTCCGAACACGATTTAACATATCCTAAAACCTCCTAACACATCCTGACATCTCCTAACACGTACTAAAATCTCCTAATACCCCCTGACACTTCTCTTCATGTCCTTTCATTTCCTACCACATTCCCCTTTAATTTCCCTTCTTTCCCTAGTACAATTCACCGCCATTCACGTGATCCGGATACAAAAAGTAAAATTTCGGGAAACATTTCATACATACCAAAGATTGCTCGTGTCACCTCTTCGCATATCATGTTCTCGTGATACCAAAATGAAAAATCGGTCTATAATTGTACTAAATTTTGGTATCAGGAGAACATGATATGCGAAGAGGTGACACGAGCAATCTTTGGTATGTCTCAAAGTTTGGTCAGAATTCTACTCCTGGTAT